AATGACCTGGATGAGGGCATAGAAGGATGGGTTAGTAAATTTGCGGATGACACCAAAGTCGGTGGAGTTGTGGATAGTGCGGAAGGATGTTGCAGGTTACAGAGGGACATAGATAAGCTGCAGAGCTGGGCTGAGAGGTGGCAAATGGAGTTTAATGCGGAAACGTGTGAGGTGATTCACTTTGGAAGGAGTAACAGGAATACAGAGTACTGGGCTAATGGTAAGATTCTTGGTAGTGTGGATGAGCGGAGAGATCTCGGTGTCCGTGTGCGTAGATTACTGAAAGTTGCCACCCAGGTTGATAGCGTTGTTAAGTAGGTGTACGGTGTGTTAGGTTTTATTGGTAGAGGGATTGAGTTTCGGAACCATGAGGTCATGTTGCAGCTGTACAAAACTCTGGTGCGGCCGCACTTGGAGTATTGCGTACAGTTCTGGTCATCGCATTATAAGAAGGATGTGGAAGCATTGGAAAGGGTGCAGAGGAGATTTACCAGGATGTTGCCTGGTATGGAGAGAAGGTCTTTATGAGGAAAGGCTGAGGGACTTGAGGCTGTTTTCGTTAGAGAGAAGAAGGTTAAGAGGTGACTTAATAGAGACATACAAGATGATCAGAGGATTAGATAGGGTGGACAGTGGGAGCCTTTTTCCTCGGATGGTGATGGCTAGCACGAGGGGACATAGCTTTAAATTGAGGGGTGATAGATATAGGACAGATGTCAGAGGTAGGTTCTTTACTCAGAGAGTAGTAAGGGCGTGGAATGCCCTGCTTGCAAAAGTAGTAGACTCGCCAACTTTTAAGGGCATTTAAATGGTCATTGGATAAACATATGGATGATAATGGAATAGTTTAGGTTAGATGGGCTTCAGATTGGTTTCACAGGTCGGCGCAACATCGAGGGCCGAAGGGCCTGTACTGCGCTGTAAAGTTCTATATTCTATGTTCTATGATGACGTAGTTCAGGCATCATTTAAAGGTGTAAACTGTACAGCAGGATCTTCTTCTAAAAGACATCAGAAAGCCAGTTCAGTTTGTAACAGCAGTCCAACATTTTATGGTCTATTTTACTGCCGATACATTTTTAATTTCAGGGATTTTTTTAACAGAATTCCAAATTGCTGGCTGTTGAACCGAAGTTGGAACTATGGCCAATTTGGTTGGTTTCTCCCTGCTCAGGGAGTAGAACCAGTGAGCTTTTGTTGTCTGTGTGAAGCAACACTGTGTATAAAGCTTGGGGAAGATGATGGCATGTTGATAATGACATTGGACTAGTAATCCAGAAGCCGAGGCCAGTGCTCAGGGTGCAAATCCCACCATGACAGCTGATTGAATTTAAATCCATGTAATAAAATCTGGAAAATCAAGATGGTCAACATAAAACTATCATTGATTGTTGTAAAAACCCATATGGTTTACTAATGTCCTTTAGGAAAGAAAATCTGCCATCCCTACCTGGTCTAGCAGAAATGACTATTACGAGGGGGCATTTTTAAGGTGATTGGAGGAAGGTATAGGCGAGACGTCAGAGGTAGGTTCTTTACACGGAGAGTGGTGGGTGCGTAGAATGCGCTGCCAGCAGTGGTAGTGGAGTCTGATACATTAGAGACTTTTAAGCGACTCTTGGATAGGCACATGGAGGATAGTAAAATGTAGGGTATGCAGGGTAGTTTGATCTTAGTAGGATAATAGGTCGGCACAACATTGTGGGCTGAAGGGCCTGTACTGTGCTGTACTGTTCTATGTTCTATGTAATCTGAAATAAAAATAAAGTGTGGAAAATTCAGCAAGTATGGCTGTATCTGTAGAAAGAGAACCAGAGACAGTATTTTGAGTTGATTATGGCTTCATTAGAGCTGAAGATGGCTGGAAAATTGTGTTTCTCGTACTGTTGATAAAGCGTGCAGAGGAATGAGTGGAACAGATGGTAAGGGTGGTAAGAGCAAAAGACAAAGGGACTGCAAGTGATAGTAGAGGAGAATTTTGATGCAGAATAGGTGTTAAAGGCAGGTATGAATTGTGGAAAGTAGGTCAACTCTGCTGAGAGAAAACCCATGCAACGAAAACACTAGGTGGCAAGGGAATGTCGTCCAAATGGAGGGCAGTACTCGTGTTTTGAAATTGCTAAACTCAACCTTGCATCTTGAAGGCTGTATATTTCCTAAATAATAACTGATATGCTGGTCCTCCAGCTTGCATTGGACTTCCCTGGAGCATTACAGTGAGCCAAGGATCGAAATGGTAGTGTTGAGTAACACCTCCGCTCTGTAAGAGTGACATGAACCTTCCAGTTATTTGCCATTTCAATACACCAACTTACTGTCATTCTAACATTTCTGTACGAGGCTTGCTGTAATGTTCCAGTGAAACGCAATGTAAGGTGGAGGAATGACACATCACATTCTG